CTCCAGTGATCTCTTGTGGGTGACAATCTATTCTGCCTGTGGTCAAGCTGACTCTGCTTACAGAGCACAGAGCTCTCCTCACTGCTGTTATCTGAGCTAGGCAGGTACCCATACCCGGGGGTTAACCCTGAGTTGGTTAGAGGGGGATGAAAATTCATGTGAGTTTTCCCATTAGTGTTTTATTTTATTTTATTTTATCTTTAGAGACAGAGTCTTGCTCTGTCACCAGGCTGGGGTGCTGTGGTGTGATCATAGCTCACTGTAGCCTTGAACTCCTGGGCTCAAGCGATCTCCTGCCTTAGCCACCCAAGTAGTTGGGACTATGGGTGTGTGCCATCGTGCCCTGTTAATTTTTTTTCTTTTTCTTTTTTTTTTTTTTAGAGACAGGGTCTCACTATGTTGCCCGGATTGGTCTCTAACTCCTGGGCTCAAGCGATCCCACTACCTGAGCCTCCCAAGTAGCTGGGACTATAGGCATAAGTTACCATGCCTGGCTTCCCATTAGTTTGCAAGGCTGTCTGAAATGAGAAATACAATATGTTCATCACTGCAGTGGGCTTTAATCCAACTTCAAATTCATTTCTGCTATACACAAGCCCACAGATGACTCAGATTGGTACCACTGACATTTTTTCGAGAAGAGCTTTCAACATAGGGACAGATTTGGGACACTTTTCCAATCTGCTAACCACATGTGGAATACTCTTTTCTTTTCCAATTTCGATATTTCTCCTGAGAGAAATCTCTAGTCCCACGGACATAAACGCAATCATTTAAATAAACCGAATAAGTCTTTAAAGACCTGTAGCCGAGAATGTGCTAAGGATTAACATTACTCAGCTCACAGTGTGACCAGAAACACCTCTTGCACAATGTCAGTTTTCCATTTTATCTTTCCTTTTTCCAGATGTTCTAATTTTCTCCTCCCAGCTGAATTTAAACCAACCTAATGAATACCCTCTCCCCTGACCTCTCACAGTGTCGAGGTTAACTCTGAAGGTCCAGGGAGGTGGGGAGAGTAGGAACATTCACAGAAGATGATTTCCAAGACAATGATGAAGTCAGTCTCTAGGAGATCTGACTAGGACAGTTTTGAAATTAGTGGGAGTTCCTGGATGGCCCCGTCCTCTCTCTCTGCCCCTGAAAGCCTACTTGAGCCCCCTGGCAAAGGAAGTGAACAGGGTACTGCCCTCTGGTCCCAGGTGGGGGCCTCTCAAGAGGCCCAGGAAGGAAAGCATGGGTGCCTTGTGTTTCAGGTGTCTGGGTAGCGGCAGGGTCCTACCTGGCCCCCTGGTGGGACTGACGCCCTGACCCAGGGATGTACTTCCTCGTGCTGGTTCCTAGGGCCACCTCACACCGCTGCCCACAGGAACACCTTCATTCCTTCCAGGGATATCATTACAGGCCCCCCACCTGCCTGGGCCTATGTGAATCCTGCGTGTTAGTGGAGTTGGTTGCTGCTGGCTTGCCTCCCTCCCAATTCGTTCTTTGCTCTTTTCCTCTCTCCTCTGTGTCTGAGTTCTTCCCCATCCCTCAGGGCCTCACCTGTTCACCTCATGCCTATTCTCTGTGGCCCGTCCTCATTCTTCCCACACACTGTGGGGAAGCCCACAGAGGTACTGCTCAAACTGGGACTCCTCTCAGAACGTCTGCACTTTCATTTGGGTCAAAGTCTCACACTAAAGGTTAGAAGCCCCAGTGAGGAATTCCTGGTACTGCCAGGACTTTGGGAAGGGCCTTGGCAAGCCATGTTCTGTAATCTGTCATACCCTGGGGAGAGACCATTCTCTGTGAACCCATACTTAAAGTTCTTCCCTACTTCCTGCCTTCCCTGTGGCCTCTCTGGCTGCCTCTGCCCACACCAGGCCCTCTCCCCTCATGCCCCTGGCTGCTGGTCACTGCAGAGCTTCCCTGGTCCTCCCCACCCTGCTCCAAGCATGAGGGCTTTCCTCTAACCTGGCCTAGGCCAGCTGGGCCCCAGCACTCCACAAGCCAAGTTTAAAGGGATTTTGTTGACTTAGAGTCTTGATTGAAATTTGAGTCATTTTGTAGACCTACGCTAATACCTGACGAGCCCCAATCTATCCTGGTTTCTGTCGATTGGGCCTGGATTCTCTACTTGGATCTACTTCTCATTTTTGTTTGGGTTGATGAACTTAGATTAAACTGAAATTAAAATTCACCCTCACATCTGAGCCTGTAGTTTCTCTTCCTCCTCTGCTAGGCCTCTGGTATCCTAAGCCTCCCATTTTGCCAGGGGCACAATCCTGTCCCAAAAGGCCAGAGGCCCTCCGCCATTGGGCAGGCTGGCACATACATGCAGGGATCCCTGTGGACAGCAGGGGACAATGGCCTGGGGAGCCTGGGCCCCAAACCCTCCCAGTCTACCAAACCCACAGCATGGGCTCAGCATGGTGGCCCGGAGCTGTGGTGGGGGCAGGCTGGAGTGGAGGTGACACTGACAAAGAAAGAAGGTGAACATAAATCTAACCTGTTCTAGGCTGTGTGCTGTCCAACAAAAACTATAAAGACCAAAGGAGGAAGCACATGAGGAATGGATACAGGACTGAGCGTCCAGAGACGGTCAACCCCACCTGCTCAAGTGTGGCTGGAGTCTGGACCACACCCACCCACGGAGAGCTGCTCTCCCCACGCCCCTTGAGGAACATGTCTAAGAATCCCTGTGTTATCCAGAATGGCTCCCCGGAAAACTTCCCTGAATAGAATGGAATTCTCCTCTGATGGTTTACAAAGCACAGGAGGGTCTTTTCTGTACTTGGAGGTGGGGAGGGGAGGGCTCATCTGACAGAATGCCAATGACCACAGCTGGCCAGATGATCTCAGGTATTCCCTGCCTGGGACCCCAGCCCCACAGCCCTGGGGCTCCTGCCCAGTCAACTCTTATATTACACAGTCCCCTTCCACTTCCCGTAAACCTGCCAGCTGGCTACCCTGATTTTCAGGCTGAATGATGGATTGCCTCCTTGGGTTACAAAGCAACAGAATTAAGATAAACACACACACTCTAACTTTAAGGAGTACACCATGACCTTCTCCCCATTCTAGCAGAAGGCCACCGCCAGGACATGGTCTTTGTTCTGTCAAGCCCAGATTGCAGTTCTATTCCTCTTTCCGGCCTCTGAGCTTCAAATATCCTTTATGTTAGATTATTAAGTATGAAATGTCTGATTTCCTTAAGTACTAAGTTTGATAGTTGATATCTCTGACATTTCACTTTGATACTTCTTGTTTTATGTGTACTGTGAAAGTACATCCTCAGTCTTTCAAACACACATTCTGGCTTGTGATTATCTTTCAAAAATTTTTTAAGCACAATTTTTGTGACACCATGGATAAGTCAAATATTCATTATTTTCAAAGATGAGTTCCATCATGGAACAAATGCAGTGCAGACAGCTCCAAATATCAACAAAGTGTTTGGGAAGGATGTGGCTAATGAACACACAGTATGTCGATAGTTTGAGAAGTTCCATTTTGGTGATTTTAATCTTGAAAATGAGCCATGTGGGTGACCTGAGACCAAGGTGGATAATGATGAGCTGAAAGCTGCAGTGGAAGCAAATCCATCTCAACCTACGTGTGAACTAGCAGCAAGGTTTGACAACACTATTGGACCATTTGAAACAAATTGGCAAGGTAAAGAAGCTGGACAGATGGGTTCCCCATGAACTAAATGACTGTCAGCAGCGTTGTCTGGAAGCTTGCTTTTCTTTGCTGTCACAACATAAAGGCGAACCATTTCTACACCGTATTGTTTCATGTGATGAAAAATGGATCTTTTTGTCAATTGCAAGCATTCAACACAATGGTAGGATAAAGACGAAGTGCCGAAACACAGTCCAAAACCGAATTAGTCATCAAAAAAAGCCCATGGTGTCTGTTTGGTACCAGTGCTGGTATTATCCACTACAGCTTCATGAAACCTGGTCAATTGATTACAGTGGATTTCTGCTGCAACCAATTGGATGAAATGATGAGGATGCTTATGACTAAGCAGCCGAGATTGGTCAACAGAGACAGCCCAATCCTCTTGCAAGACAATGCTTGACCCCATGTTGCACAAACAATACTGCTCAAACTACAGCAGCTGGACTTGGAAACTCTCTGTTATCCACCATATTCACCAGACCTTCCACCAACTGACTACCACTCCTTCCAGGCTTTGGACCACTTCTTGCAAGGAAAAACATGCAATTCTCAATAAGCTTAGGAAAATGCCTTTGGCGATTTCATCACCACTCATTTTCCAGGCTTCTTCGCTGCTGGCATAAGCAAGCTACTGTTAAGATGGCAAAACTGTGTCAATAGTTTAGGCGCATACTTTGATTGTGCTGCTTCCTGTTTGAGCTATAATAAACTACACTTTTGATTTGAAATCGGACAATTCATACTTAATGACCTAATACTACCCTCCCTCCAATGGCATCACAACAGGCCTATCAACCTGGAAGGCAGAGGGGAGAGTGGAGCGGAGATGGAGAGCATCTCCCAGAGGGCCACGGAAGCGAGGTGTCACCGAGGAGGCTTCCCCAGCTGCCAGTCACCACGTCCCACCTTCACACTCTGTGCTAGTTCCATGTAATGACCACAACTATTATTTCGATACTATTTTTCTTTAAATTGGCTCATTTAGAAAAACCCAGTTATTTATAAAGAAACCCTATTCTCTACCACACATGGCAAACTTGTATCATTTGTAATTTTTGATTAAAATAAATAAATCTCTATTAAAACCAAAGGTGTTTCTCTGTGGCCCATATAAGTCATCATCTCGGTTACTGCTGTAGGTTACACATGTTTGGTTGTAAATGCTTAGGACCCAAGAGACTCTCTCTCAGGGAGAGTCTTGGTCACCTCCTGCCTTTGTCATTTTGGCTGTAAAACATGCCCCCAGACCACTCTCCCTGGACACACGCAGCCTGCCACACACGTGCCCAGGCCCGACCCACGGTGTGGAACGTGTGTGGGGCCTGACTTACAATTCGTGGCTTGAAGGGCGGCTTGATCTTCTTCTGCTCCAGGAGCACCCAGTCAATCTCTTTGAAGAAGGGGTGCTGCTTGATGGCGTCCTCACCGTTCTGCGCTGCCACACAGCCCAGGCGCTTGTGAGGGTTCTTCGTCATGAACTGCAGGGATGAGGACATGAGTCAGAATTAGTGACAACAGCCTGGCTGGCACAGGCTGTGAGGGAAAGATGGAAGTTGGCAAGGGCAACATCTTCAGCATCACCTCCCAAGTCTGTAAATGCACCTTCAGGGACCTCGCCCCTTGGGTTTTCTCTAACTCTTATACAGAATTTACCACGTGCCAGTCACCATCCTAAATGTAGTATGTATATTAACTCACCTCATCCTCACAAAACCCTGCCAGGTACTCTCATTATCTCTAATTTATAAGTGAGATACTTGAAGCACAGAAAGGTGAATTGCTTTGGCCAAGGCCACACAGCTAGCAAGGTACCCAGCTGGGATTAGAAACCCAGGCTTTTACTAACTCTCTGATCCCCTCAGCCTCTCAAGTCTTCTCATCTGGGAGACTGAGGTCTGATAAGCTCGTTTACACTGACAGGGAAACAGTCCTTCTGGACAAGGTAGGGAAAGAGGGCAGGGCGTGCCCATGAAGGTAAGTCAGCAGACTACCTCCTGCCGCTTTCTTTTTCCTGAACTGGCCCTTCCGACCTACTTTTTCTATGTTTGAATTTGCAATCTCTACACAAAACGCTTATATTAGTCAAAAGATAAAAAATAGGCTTATTGCTTTTCAATACTCATATGCAAAAAAAATCACATCGGTGTGTTTGATATTTTCTTTAGTGCTGGTGATATTTTGGTTGGTGTCTTGTGATCCCCACACACCCAGGTGAACTTGTTATTCCGATTAAATAAGTCAGTCCTGATGGTAAACATTCATTTAATTGAGCAGACATATACCAATATCACCTTGAACAAAAGTACCAGTAGGTGGAAACAGTTCTGATAGCCACCCAAAACAAAGGTGTGTATGTGTGTTAGAGACAAAGGGTTACGTTTCACAGGGTGAAGATTAGGTGTATATATTCATTAAAAAAAAAAAAAGGATCTTGAGAGCACAAACTATAACCCAAAGGAATAAATTTATAATGGTAGAATTTCAAGCTTCATCCACAAGGGAGATTTTCTGGGACAGGGAGAGCCTCCTACTATCTCTTGCCTGGTGCCCTCAAAACCAAAGCACATGGGCCCAGGTTAAAAGCTACTGGCCAGGGAGAGCCACAGACGAGAGAGTGGAGTGAGTAGATGGGAGTGAGGAATGGTCCCACAGCATTTAGCCTTTCTAATCCAACCTACAAGTCAGCAAGATGAGCCTGCTTCAACATCTCCAGTGGGCCACACCGTGACGTCCATATTCCTTAGCCTGGCACACAGAAACCTTTCAGACTGAAGCCTGTCTACCTCGCTGGTCTTTTGCACCCTTTATTCACTCTGGTTGAATGCCCCTCTCCGGTCCCTAGGCATTCTCTAGGAATCAGTCAAAATGCTGCCTCCTCTGTGAAGCCTCCCCAGATTCCATCTTCTTTGGATACCTTGGACGCCATGTTTCTTATCTATTTAAATAATCATTTGTCTAAACATCCCTTTCCCTCAATGAGCTCTGTGATTTAGGAATCAGTCCTAACTGCCCAGCACCTGGCTCCCACTGTACACTCAGTAAACCGTCACGACTGAGCAGGGGGCTAAAGGCTGGGCTTCAGGGCACAGTGCTGAGGAAGGGAGGCAGTGGGGTGGCCACTTACTGTTGCATAGGTTGTATACTGCATCATTGCATAATTCTATGATGTAAATGGTCTTCCCTAGAGTTCTGCATCACCTTCACATAGGCAGCAGCCCTCAGAGACACAGCTCAGTGGCCACAGTCATGGGCATCCTGGTCTTAGCCTTAGAGTCAAGTGACAATGTAAGGAAATGAAGTGTTTCAAGACCAAAGGAGTAGTAGACTAACTTCCTCAACCTGGAAGGAGGAGGACAGGAGTCGCAGGGCCAGGGGTAAACATAGAGGTCCAAACATCTCAGGAAGCTACCCACGAACCAGAGGCTCTTCTCACTTTGCCCTTACTGGCTAGTTAACGTAGGCATAACCTGGAACTTCTGAATCTCTGTAGGTCAAAGTTTTCAACCTTGGTGCTATTAACATTTGGACTGAATACTTGTTTGTCATGGGGATTGTCTTGTGCATTGTAGGCTGTTTAGCAATCCCCCTGGCCTCTACCCACTACATGCTAGTAGCAACACTCCCCAGGTTGTGACAACTGAAAATACCTCCAGACTTCGCTGAATGCCTGGTGGAGGGGGGCAAACTTGCCCTTAGTTGAGAACCACTGCTCTAGGTCCTCCAGAACAGAAGGGCTCGTCTGGGGTGCTCACAGAGAACATCCCATATTCTTTATTCCATAACAGAGAACTCACAGGGAGGTGTGCTGGGCTGGTGTCAGGGCCTGGGATGGCGGCCAGCTCTGCAGGGCATGGTGTTCTGGCCACCTCCGGTGCTCAGGTGACTTGGGACAAGACAGGGCTCTGGGAATTAGAGAAGGCAAAGGTTCCCATGTCTACCCCAGGGCAATTACCCAGAAGAGTCGTCTGTGGTGGTTCAGAGCTCCAAAGTGCAAGCGGAAGTAGAACCAGTGCATGAACATGTTGAGATATATCACTGGGTGGAAAAAGCAACATACGCTGTTGAGATATGCACAGCATCCTAACATTTGTATGAAAAAGGAGAAGAAATAAGAATTTATCTTTGTATTTGCTTGTGTGTACCTAAATAAATTCTGGAGTGATAAATAAATCTAAAAACAGAGGCAGAGAGTGTGGGAAACAGGCAGATGGGACCAAGAGTGAGATCGAGACCTTTCACTGTATTCCGTTTTATGCTTTGTGCTTTTTAAAAAAGCATATGCTTAAACAAGGAAGCAAATAATTAAATACATAAAGCCTTAATACATAAACTGGACAAAAAAGCAATACATTTGAATAATTGGATAATCTAGTCCCCCAAGCAGGATTCCGTCCTACTGGGTGATGCGCCCTTTCTAAAAAAGGCTCTGCTTCCCTGTAGGAAAGGAAAATCGGAAGAGGTGGGGGAAAGTCAGGTCGAAAGAGCCACTTTGGGGTACTGAGAGCCTGGCCTTGCAGCTGCCCAGTGCTTGTCTAGTACTATCCCTTTTCTCCTTCAGACATCCGTTAGTCTCCTCTCTGCACCAAGCGCTGTGATGAGTGACAAAAGACACGGTCCCTGCCCTCATGGGGCACGCAGAGGAGGAAGGGAAGCCAAGAAGAAACATATAATTAGGCCGGAGAAGCAATTAATTGAGATGGTGATGAAGGGCGGGAAAGAAGCATAGCAGGCTCTGAAGGCGCAAAGGGGAGACGCCCCTCTTGGGCAGGGAAGTTGGCAGCTCCCTGGGGAAGCAACATACAGGCTGGCATCAGAGGAGGAGCAAGAAGTAACCAGGCAAAAAGGGGAGGGTGGAGAGTGGTCAGGGAAAAGGAACACTAACGACATGCATTCTAGCACCTGGACACAGGCCAACATGGCTGGAGCCCAGCAGACCAGTGGGGATGGCTGAGGGGTAGGCAGGGCCCCACACAGGGGCAGGCTACATGGGTCTGTATCTAAGCACAGTTTGCACTCCTCGATGAGTTTTAAGTAGGGCACAGGGCATGAGATGGTCAGACTGAGATCATTCTGATTCTCCCATTAGGAGGCCCCGCACTTCACCAAGGGAGAGGTGGTGGTGGCTCCAACTGGGGTAGATACGGTGGGAGATGGACAGAGATAACTCTACAAGGCAGGGTGACCAATGGCTGTCACACAGACCAACACTCACTCACCATCTAGCATGTGCCTGGCATGTCGGAAGCACTCAATAAATAGTATTTCGATGAATCGATGAATGGGAGAAGGGAGGGAGCATGGGGGGGGAAGGGAAATAGATCAGGAAGGGAGAGAAGGAGGGAGGTGAGGGAAAGAGGGAGGGAGGGAAGAAAAAAGATCTACAGAGAAGAGTGTTCTGATTTGGCATTTTAAAAAATATGGTACACATGTCCCCAGATACCTACTAAATGGTTTTAGGTCTTTTAAATTTTTTCATATAATGATTTACATTAATTAGTTATGGCAAGTCATACTGATTTTTCACCTATAAGAGTGACATAAAATTTCTTTGTAAAGTACACATAATTAGGTAAATACTGGGAGTCGATTAAAAGAACGAGAAAAGCAAATACCAGTACTGGAATAGGGCAAATTTTGTGAATGTGGTAAGCAAACCACTGAACTTCGGGGCAATCTGATGGGTGAAAGCAGCCAGGGCTGGAAGTCCAGGTTCCTGGGCTGTCACCCTGGTCCTGCCTCAGCCCAGTGGGTGACCTTGGGCAAAGTGGTCGCTTAAAGTCCTTGCACCTCAGCTTTCACAGATTCCAAAAGGGGGTAGGTAGCACCCCTTACTCGACACAGTACAAGTTACACTGCAGAAATGGCTCTGTTGAGAAAGTACGAACGCATTTCCACACAGGAGGGATTATCTGTAGGGGCAGTGACAGTCTGTGACACGTCTAAGTCTTGTACCAGACCTATCCTGGTTGGCTGTCCAGCCACAGTGATGCTGTCGTGGACACAGGTGGGCAGTGCCCCCCCCCCACTCCCCATCACAGGCCCCGATGACGGCAGGCCACAGGTGACAGGCAAGGAAGGCGTGGAAGAGGCAGAGGTGATGTCAGTGCAGTTGGGTTGGTTCTGCTCCCTCTGAAATGTCAGAGGACCTAGATGTACATGGTGCTCCAACTCAGGAAGCACAGGCATGCTGTCCTTTCCCACAGGTGGAGCAAGTCACCCCAGGCCCCCTTCTCTCCGTAGCAGCGCTCTGAACTCTGCCTGAACACCCAGCAGGAACTATGCTTAACTCCTCCCGTTCAGTGGTCGGCAGAGGTGGGAGACAGAAAGGGGGAAAGAGTGTTGTGTAGGGCAGAGGATCCCACGGGAGCAGAGCCACGGGAGGTGCGCAGTGACTCACAGCTTTCAAGATACTGACGGCCTCCTTGCTGAGCCAGACGGGGTACAGGACGTCATCATGGAGGATGGACTCAAACAGGTCGTCCTCGTTGTCAGCCTCAAAGGGGGGCTGCCCAGCCATCATCTCGTACATCAGCACCCCCAGAGCCCACCAGTCCACGGAGGGGCCGTACTCCAACTCCTGTAGGATCTGCTCATGAAAAACAGGCAACATCAGGAACTACCAGCGACTCCCACCCCTGACAACACCTGCACCACAGATTCCGTGGGAAGGACTGCATCTTCATTTCCAACTTGCTTCTTTATAGAGTGGAGCCCTGCGTCACATACAGCAAGGCTTTAAATCAGCAAATTTAGTAAAAATCGAGTTTGGGAGGCACTGTGTTGGGGTCATTTCTCCAAAGTCAACATGGACAGTCCACCCCCAGTGGGAACAGATTGCTATTTGAGTGCGGCAAGATCAGGTCTCCCATCCCACTCAGTCCGGGGCATGCCGCATCTCAGTCTTCCTTAAATGATGACAACGTTGACTTTACATGAGCCCTGAGCTCCTGGAAAGTGCAGTTAATGTGTCTCCCCACCCTTTGGCCTTCCACCCACAAATGCAAGACCATTATTCTGCAGCATATCCCAGGAGCAGACCCATCTCTCCATCATTCCTTGTGACTCCCACACAACTCACTAATGAATCCCTCCTTCACCTGCCTCTGTAAACCCGAGGCCCCCTTCCGTGCCTTTGGAGCCATCCTCATTATGAACATTCTCCCTATTGCCATAACATCTCCTTGACTGCCTGCTGCATTTTTTCTTTGACAACGGTCACTTGTCTTTATCTATTATCTCCGTGTCCCTTGCTTTCTTCCCTCTGGCCAAATGTGTAGAATCAAATTCACTTAGATGAAATGCACATGTGACACGATGCTACTGAATGCTACACACCGTCAGCTTCCTGTAGAGCGTGGAATGTAAGGATTGAAGTTTTATAAACTGAATCATCATTTCAACACATGAGAAGAATTCTACTTAAAATTGAGAAGGTACAGGGCCTTTTGAAAGCAAATAACTGCCGCGACCTAATTTTCCTGGAGCACTGGCCACGTGTTACAGTAGGAGATGGAAGACCAACTGAGATATTTATATTCCATCCCAAGTGTGGTACTAAATCTTTGGGTGATCTCAAACTAGTCACTTGACTAGCCTCGCTTATCAAATGAGGCTCAGATTTTCAGTTTCATCTCACAAGATTAATTCAGGTAGAAGATTTTAAAAGCATACTGTAAAATACAAAGTGCTTTCTAAGTTTTTTTCTCATATATGTGTGTGTGAACCAGATCCAATAGAAGAAACTTGAATTTAATACCACCTTTCAGTTGTATAGAGCTTTGTGTTTTGCAGCATGCTTTTAAATACTATATATATACACATAAGTATATAGCGTGCCAATGATGTGTTTGGCTCAGAGGAAAAATAAATGCTGAGCTGTCCCCACTGCTAAGGAAGGGATTGTGAAGTGGTGCCCCCATTCCACAACTATTTTCTCTTATCAGTCAGACCAGGATTAGACATGGCCCTGCCCAGAAACAGGAGGGTGGATGAGATGACCTTTCCAATTCCATAAAGAGTTCCAAAAAGTGAAGAGCGCGGAGGAGAGGTAAGGCTGGAACGCATGTCTCGAAAGCGGGAACCTTTTGAGGATCCTGAAAAAACAGGCAAAGTCCATGCCTAATCATCCCAGCTTACAGGACACCTGGAGCAGGTAACTTCTCAGGCCTGGGACAAGGCTCCAATTTAGTTCTCAGATTGCAAGGTGGCCGGGGAAGAGGAGGCTTAACTTGAGAATCTGATCTTTCTGTGGTCTACTGAAAACGATCTTCTAGAGGTTACAAATTGCATGGGATTAAATAGAAAGACTTGGATAGAAGCATTTGAAAAGAGTAAAAACACTCACGGTTTAGGAATCTTCTGAATTTAGAATGAAAAGGAATGCAAAAGAATGCAGCCAACTCAAAATTACTCGGGGCTGATAATCTGTTTGGTTGGCACCCTTGGTCTCTTAGCCCAGTGCTTTGCGTACAGTATCCGTAAGATCAGAGCTGCAGGCTCCACTGTCCTGAGGAGCCAGCGATGCTGCTCTGTTATGACACAAAAACAAAGCCAGCTCCTCCCTCAACCTTGCAGCACCCAACCCAAGAGCCTGTCTGTTCCTAAGATTTGCAGGCACTTTTCACATACTACTGCTTTTTAGTTATTTTTTCATGGCCCACTGTCTCCCCTGTGCATCCATAAAGCACCAGAGGGAAGGGGTCTAGCATTCTTCTGAGCCCACCACTGTGATCAGCCCACTCTGTCACCCAGGAGACAGCCGACGTTTCGTGACTGACTGGCACGTGTGTCCACTCCGCGCATCTCACTGGGCATGATCCCTTCTCTTCTGGGCTCAGGGAGCCCTGGGTGCTTCTCTCCACAGGGTGGGGAACAGTGGCCTCCAGGTGGCCTATGTGTGCTCAGACTGATGGCACTGTGGAAACCGCAGAGTGGCCCTGCCCACTCTGTGCCAGGCCCCCTTCAGAACCTTCTAGTTTTAGGTGGTATCTTTTGTAAAATTCCCTTTAGGCTTGGCCCTAATTATCTGCTTCCAAATCACCTGGTCAACAGGGGAGCTGGTGAGAAGGGCAAGCTTTGCACACCAGGAGGAGGCACTTGGCATGGCAGCCATACCCTCGAGTGGGTAAGAGCTGGAGTGGAGAAGGGCTGGCACTGGGTCTGAGGATGCCAGGCATTACCCAGGGCTGGCAGCCACCTCCTGGGGCGCAGGGACCAGGTGTGGACGAAGGAGAGGGGGCCATGGGGGTTAGCCAAGGAAACGTGGTGGGAAGGGACACTCCAGGGCAGAGCCAATGCCTCAGAAAGTGTCTCTGGTTTCGGGGTTAGCCCAGCACCTCATAACCTCTCCTATCTGAATAGAGGTTTACGCTTTCTGATGCATTTCCACGCTCTAATCTCATTAGATTCTCAAAACAGCTCAATGAGGAGGGTAGGGCAAGAGTTATGACTCCCATTTGAAAGATGAGGAACCCAAGGCGCAAAAACATTTTGTGACTTCATCGGGGTCACGTGGGGGCATTAGTAGTCAAGTCCGAACTTGAATCCCAATTCTCAGGACTGTTCTTCCCACCCCATGACACAGCCACACTTAGCGCAGACCAGGCACCATGCTAAGTGCTTCAGAGGTGTCACTTCATTTAGTCTTCCCAAGACCCTGAATAAAGGCAGCAAGACCTTTATCAGCTATCGTTTGCCTGCAGTAAGACCAGGCATTATCTGTCACCTCCAGGACAGCGGCGACTGCACAGTGGGCGCAGAGGGTAGAGCGGGCAGAGAGCGTGTCTGTGCCTCGACAAGGTCAGAGTGGAGTTGCTCGCTGTGAGTGTCCCCGATGGATTGCTCTTCATGGAAATTGAGTGGGTGTTCCGTTCATTGTGAAGTCGATGTTTGTCTCGGGCTGGGCCCTGAATGATAACACTGGGCTCTGACATTGACTCACGGAGGACCTGGAACCGAGCATTCTGATGACAAAGAACGAACGAGGAAGAGGAGAAAAGCAAGGCCCAGCTAAAAGCGCTCACTTTCATTTATTTCTCCTTGAAGGTTGAATTCCTCATGTTCTTGCTGAGGGAACACACCAGCAGAGAGCCTGGAATCTCTACTCTGCAGATCTGTTAGAAGATGAAGGTTTTGAACAGAATTTACCTATTCCTCACCACCCTCACTCCTAGACCTTCCTCAGGGTGGGGTCTCCTGTGTCTTGTTTGTCCCGCATTGCTGCTGTCTGTCTTTTTCCTGGGACAGGTCTGATTAGGACCCTTCTCCACCGGAACCCTCAGTGGGTCCACCAATTCTACAGGATCAAGACCACATTCTTTGGTCCTTTATCCTAATCTTACTCATTGTATGAGTACTAAAACCCCTAGGTTCTAGCTATACTATTTAACTTTCCTGATAAAGGCCAAGATGTTTTCATCCCTTGGCCTTTACTCTTGTTGGAATGTCACATGTTCTCATGTACTCATTCGACAAACCAGTACTAAGAGCCTGATTTGTGTGCTGGATCCTGGCAGTACCCAGATTAGAAACACAGACCCTGCCCTCAAAGGATTCAGAGCCTGGGCACACTGGAACCTTCTTTCCTGCCCTGCCTCCATCCCAATCCTCCCTGCTGCTTTGAGGAATGCCCTCCCCACCCCCTCTGCTAAAGGAAAACCTTGCTCTTTGCAACTGAATTCATCTGCCAGGTGCTCCAAGCAGCCTTCAACGATCCCTAAGGATATCGTCTTGTTTTATTGTACCTATTTGTTCTGCTTAATGGGCTGTTTACTCATCTGTCACTCCCTTTAGACCAAAAGTTCCCTTAGAAGAAGGAACAGTGTCTCAGTCAATTCTTTATTCCCACATTTCTCTGTATCTAGCAGGTGCTCAAACAATGCCCACTGAAAGAAATGAAGGCTGAATGTGCTAACACTTATCCACCACAGGCGATACTCAACGGGGATTGGTACTTCCTTCCCATCTTGCGAGTCTCGGAGCCATCAAGATCATTTTGATTAAGTATCTACGACAGGCCACGTCCTCAATCTGAATCATATCACATTAGGGGTCTCTCAGTTTGGCAAGATTGATCTGGGGAACTCGAGGCAAACAAGCACTTCACGATGGGCAAAACATCCAAACAACTTTCACGATAGGCATCCACTGGTGAGGCTCACAATGACATCCCATCTCCGTGTATAAGGAGGCCCAGTCACTGTCCCCTTCCTGCTCCAGATGTAGAACTGCCCCTCCACTGGAAATTGCAAGCAATTCCTGGTTTTACTGTAAGCAAATTATAGCTGATAAAGCTATGTGCTGCCTTTATCAAAGATGCTCCTTCATTCTGATTTTTAAGACATGAAAACAATGATACAAGTCAACAAAATTCTCTTGGTCCGAGATTTATTGGGGGCTCCGGACTAGGATGGTGGAGTGGCATTCATTGAGGACTTGCCCAGATTTGGGGAAGAGCCTGTTACTCTCAGTTCACTCACCACCTCCCTCATCACTGAGGATTCCTTATGGAGAAATCAGCAAACCTTTTACTTCCCCTTTTCTTCCTCCTCCCTCAAATCCACCCTGGTTTTCCAGACCCTTCTCCCAACACCACCAGATGACCCCAGTGCATAGGGTTGGACCCCTGCCACCAGGAGGAGGTGGCCTTTGCACGTGGCCTTACCTCGGGAGCTATGTAGTCAGGAGTCCCGCAGAACGTGGTGGTCGTCACACCGTTCAGAATCCCTTCCTTGCACATCCCAAAGTCGGCCAGCTTGCAGTGACCTTCTGCATCCAGAAGGATGTTGTCCAGTTTCAAATCCCTGCAAGACAGGCCAGGACCACATGGTAAATGAATGCTTCACTCACCCAGTGTGGTCTTCTTGAGTTGGAGAAACACGCATATCCTAGGGAAATCTCTAGAAAATAAGGCCCTGAAGGAAGCTTGACCTGCCTGAACCCAATCTCAGTCCAAGGGCTCTCTCTCGAGTGGGTCAGTCCCCAGTGTGCTTCCATCCTCCTCGGCAAGAGGGAGGAGCTTCTGTAATCCCAGGAATATGTCAAGACTGATGAAATTGAATAAAGTCAGTAACTATTTATGGAAGCCCTACTATGCCCTGAAATTCATATTAATCAGACCCTGCTATCAGAGAAAGAAGTATCTATGCCCTGTCCTTGGTGAATTAACCACAGCATCAGCTGGGGAACCAGCCTGTCACATGTGAACATCAATGCATCAGATAAAACCACTTAAGAGTCAGGTGCTACCTTACAGGGCACTATGTGAGCTGTTACGTTTCAGAAGGGAAGACCACAGCCAGCTAGTGCAGGCAGGTGAGGGTCTCCAGGAAACAGTGACCTTCAAGAGCAGCTTAGATAGAGGGCAAGGTTTGGCCAGACCATGAGGAGAGAAGGTGGGAGGGGAGAGAAGGTCAACAGAGCAGATGCAAGGCAGCGAAGAGACCAGAGACTTGGGCCCCAGTGAACAGGGAGGCAAGACAGGCATGTGGAAACCGGCCTCAAAGAGCCTAGAATGCCAGAAAAAGGGTTTAGGAAATTCACATGGAGAGCGATGAATGTCTGGCCTGCATGAGCACAATGTGTTTGCAAGATTGGTCTTCCAGGGGCAAGTAGGCCTGGGCAGGGGTCTCCATAACCTGGACCTCCAGATGCCATGTGGTCTTTCACAGTGAGTGAGGGCTATAGAGGCGTGCTGGCCTCAAAAAGTGCAGCCACCTCGGGGCCTGTTTTACATTTGAGGGTCCTGTGTAAAACATGGGGTGCTGTGTAAGAATTCCCCCACCACCATGTCTGGAAACCCAAGACCTGGCCCTGCAGAAGAACCTGGACTGGATGGAGGTCCCCACCCCATGTCCCCTTAAGCAGCCACTCTGAGCTGGGGGGCGTCTTGCAAAGAAGGCCCATCCCTCTGCATGCAGAGAGTGGAAGAGGCCTGCTGGCGACGGGACTTGAACTTCAGCCACCATCAGGGATCTAGGCCTGAGTGCAAAGGTGGGGCAGGAAGCACTTTAGGACCTGTCTGCGTTGCACCCATGACCCTGCTTCCGCTCACAGCTGGGACTGCTTGAGAAAAAAGAACACAGAAAATGTGCTGCTCTAAGCAAATGCTTGAGAACTACAGAGAGAACAGTGAGAGCAACCAACCAAGCACAGCCACCGGGACCAGGGCTCTCCATCCCCACCCTGGTTGCCGTGTGTGGTCAAAGCTTACCTCTAGCTGTGGGTGAGACAGCAGTGACACGAACACCAGGCTGAGTTGCAGGAGGCTGGTTGTGCCTTGGCCCTGGTAAAGTCACCTTGCTGGTCTGTGACCTTATCTGTCAAGTTGGGATGACACATCCCTGCTTGCAGGCTTGTTTGAGGGACTAATGGAAGTAGAAGGTCTTTAATACCGTCGCACCCACTTCCTTCATGAAGAAACTGAGTTGGAGGGAACTAGGTGTCCGTCCTGTCTACCCACTTGCAATTGTCTGTGTCCTCGGGAGGCAAACCCTTAGGGCCCCACTGAGTCACGCGCCCCTGCATGCCCTAGCAACCAGCGCAGCCGACCCCATGGCACGCGCAATAAGCACAATGCGATACTCGCTGGGAAAAGAACAGCGTTGCTTCTTCAGCACCTCAGTCTACAAACCACATGCAGGTGAGGTAGGAAGAACACAGTTGGCTACCACCTTCGCAGAGATAAGTAAGTGGAAACCAGAAGGTGGCAAGTGATGTTGGTGCTGAGGGTTTCTGCGTGCTGCACTCTGCTCTCCTGTCTCAATGTTGCTTGACTTCTTCCCGTGCCAGCCACCAAACACAACCTTATAAAATACCCCAAATGCCACCCCTTTAAGCACTTTCTTTTCAAGCCTTTACGTCCGAGGAAGGACTTGTTCTAATTTTGTACGAATGGGATGGATTCAGAATGTTCCAAGCAGCCTGAACCTTGCCCCAATTCTGACTCAGGTGGCAAGGCCCGGCCTCTCCTCCCGCTCAGGCACCTACTCTCCTCAGGGAGGAGCGAGAGAAGGCGGAATGTCTCACTTCCCCCTACCTCACACTGGCCCCAGACATACCGTCCTTTGCTGCCTGCTCTTGCTTCTCCCTGGGGAAGCAGCCGCCCCAGCCAAAGGCCCGGTGTGGCCACCACTGCCAAACACGTTCTGCAGCTGTCCTCCACCACGGCCAAAACACTTCTTCCTACCGTCCTGCCTCACTGAGGCCTGAAAGCCTGTCTGTGGTCACCTCGTCCAATTTCCTCTCTGCTGTCTGCATTTCTTGAAAACTCTAACTCTCCACATAACACCAAATCCAGGAAGAGTTAGAGACTTATGTTCCTTTCCTTTAGTGACAGAAGAAAGTATGGTTCAGAAGACCTCTGGGAGCCACAAAGGCCATTGTTAGAACCTTATTCTGCCGGGAGTCTTCAGTTCCATTAAAAAGCAAAATGCTTATACCTCTGGGACCAGACTTGCCTGGCACTGGGCTCTCAATGGGAAGCAGTTCTTGAGTAGTGGGTTTCAGCAGATGGGAGAGCTCAGGGCCATGATTATGGGGGGTGGGGTGGGAGGGAAGGAGGGGAAGGAGGGGCAGATTGACCTTTCCTACAAGATTCTCTCATGGTTTTCTTACCAGTACTGTTACCCCTGGAACCCTGAATTTCTACTGCTTATTCCTGCCTCAGGATTCTCCCACCTGTAGGTTTTTAATTCTGCCTCTTCACATACGGGCCTTTAGGCCTCCCTGGGGAGAAAGGTTGGGAACAATGGGTTCCCAGGCTTACCTACCCAGAGGTGGGCTGGCAGGCAGTATGGGGGGAGGGGTTCTCTTCTCCTCGAGCCTTCCCATTAGTGCTTGGGACAATATCAGTTGGTTTTCCTCAAACCTGTTGACTGACAGCTTTGCAAAGACAGACAAGTGCCTAGATATTAGTCCCAAGACACTTTTGAGGATGGAGACATTTTTTAAAGGAGTGGGGTCTTTTTTTTAATGGGGGGGGTGGAAATCCCACAAAATCCCTCTCCTTATATATGAGCCAATGTGACTTTTACTTACTCAATTTATGAATAGTTTCATTCAGTTTTTTTCAATAGGTAATACATTCATGTGTTCAAAAAACCAAAAAGTATCCAAGGGCATATAGTAAAATTCTCTCTCTTGCATCCATTCCCTAGATATCCCTTTACTCCCTATAGACAAGTGCATTTTATTCATTCCTTGTGTATCCTCTTGGTCAGATTTTATACATAAATAAGGAAATGTGAATATATATTAATTTTCCCCCCTTTTAACTAAATGGAAGCTTACTATATATACCCTTTCAAACCTTACCTTTTTCACTTGATATATACAGTAGGTCTTTCTGTCTTACCACTAAAGAGCCTCCTAATTCTTTATGGCTGCATACCACTCCACCATATTTATTGGGGGACACTTAGGATGCTTCCAATATATGTTATTATCATCAGCAGTGCTGTGAATAACCTTGTACCTGTGACATTTTGCACAGGTGTGAAAGTAACCATACACATTTCCTAGAAAAGAAATCTCTGAATCAGATACCTCAAGAGTGTGAATTTTGATGGATGTTGCCAAACTGCCCTCTTTAGGGATTGAACAATTTACACTTCCATCAGCAATATATGACAGTGTCTGCTTCCCACATTCTTGCAAACATGGTGTAGTACCAAGTTTTGGTAGTCTGACAGTTGAAAATAGTATCTTATATATTCTTAAGTTTCTCTGTAAGCTTGAGCATTTTTTCATATACTTAAAAGAGATGTGTATTTTTTTTGTGAACTGCTGCCCATTTTTCTTTTGTGGCATTTGCTCTTTATTGATTCTTAGGAGCTCTTCCTATATTAGGAAACAAACTGTGTGTGCAACAGGAATCACAAATACTTTTCCCAGTTTATTGTTTGAATTTTGACATTGGTTATGGTGGTTTGCCCATAATATTATTTTTATGTATTAATAATTGATGTTTTATTTCATGGCATTTAATCGTGATGTTTTATGAATTGATGTTTTTGGCTTTTATGACTTAATTTGAAAGGCTTTACCCATTTCAAAGTTATAAGAGCATTTTCCCAAGGTTTCTTCTAGTACTTTTATGCTTTCATTTTATAAATGTAAGTCTTTGATGTATTTGGAATTTGTTCTGACAAAAGGTGTGAGGAATACATGCAACTTTACTTGTTTCCAGATGTCAAGTTAAGTTGTCTCAATCCCGGATATCCAATAGTTCATCTCTTCCTCATTGATTGAAACACCACCTTTATCAAATACTGGTACTAAATCTCCATATTCACTTGGATTTTTTTCTGTACCCTTTGTTCTATATCATGGCTCTACACCACACACTTTTAACTATTGTAGGTTTATAATATATTTTAACACCCAGTGGGGCTAGTCTCTTTATTATTCGTCTTTTTCAAAATTTCCTGGCTATTCTCACTTATTTATTCGTCCATATGAACTTTAGAATCATTGCTCTAGTTAAAAAACAATCTTGGTGATGTTTTTACTGGGAACATGTTTAAAGTTATAAATTAACTCAGGGAGAACTGAATTTTTATGATGCTGAGTCTTCCCATTCAATAACACTGTTTGTCTTTCCATTTGTTCAAGTCTGGTCTGCATCCCTTAGGAGCATTTTAAAGTTCCCTCATATAGATCTTGCACATTTCTTGTGACATTTTATGGCAGATTGATTGCTGGTTGTCCCAATATCCATTCTCACTTTCTTCCTTTGTAAGAGAACATTGATTTTTTTTTTTTTCTTTTTAAGCCATGCACATAGGCGTGCAGCTATGAGCTA